ATCTATCTATCTATCTATCTATCTATCTATCTATCTATCTATCTATCTACTTTGGAGACAGGGTTTCTTTGTGTAGCCTTGGCTGTCCTGGACTTACTCTATAGACCAGGATGGCCTTAAACTCACAGAGATCCACCTGCCTCTGCCTCCCAGAGTGTGGGATTACAGGTATATACCACCATGCACAGCCACTGACATAGCCATTCATTTAAAAGTATGCAGCAAAGTAAATTTGAATGTTAGTTTTTATTTTTATATTACTAGTTTGCGTTTTTATTTTTAGAAGCAAAAAAAAAGAAAATTAGAATTTCCTCTCTTGGTCTTTGAATAAAGTTTAGTAGGGAAGGACAAATACTGCAGAAGTCAGTGTGCTCAAGTTGTTGAAGAGTTCTTATTTCTAGAGGAATAACCCAGTAGGCATAGCATTTCACTGAAGTCAGTGTTCATGACCATTGATCACATGGATTCACAGAGGCTAGAGCATGTTTTTTTCATGTTTTCATGTGCATGAAAACCTATTCATTTAGTAGTTATTTATAATAATTTGAATTGAATAATTTGATTTGTTGTTGAATCTTTTTAAGTGCTTTGTACTGTAATACAATGTAGTTTTTATATTTTCTTTAGTTAAATATATGTTCACTGTGAAAATAATAGAATAACCTTTTTTCACAAATTATCTTGAGCTTTTCTCTCAACAGAGGATCACAAGCTTTAAAATTTTTCAACACACATCAGTTAAAATGTCAGTTACAAAGACACCCAGACTGTGCAAATGTGAAGCAGTGGAAAGGCGGACCTGTCAAGATTGATCCCCTGGCTTTGGTGCAAGCTATTGAGAGATATCTTGTGGTTAGAGGTATTTTCCGTATGTGTACTCTACTTCTAAAGGCTATTTCCTGTTTTCCTGTTTATTATTTATTGTTCCTGATAAACCTTAGGTAGTAGGAGCCTCTTTTCCTTCCAGAAATATACATATGTTGAACTTGCTTAATAGGCAGAGCGTTTTGTGCTTCAGAATTTTGTATCTTTCTTTTTTTATAGGTCAGAATATATAAACTACTTTTTAAAGACAATACCAGTTTATTCAGTATATATATAATCTTTCATCTGACACCTACAATTCCTAGATGACAATCTTTTTTGATACCTAGGGTATGGAAGAGTAAGAGAAGATGATGAAGACAGTGATGATGATGGATCAGATGAGGAAATAGATGAATCTCTGGTAAGGTGCTTTTTATACCATGTTGTAGTATACATTTATCATGCTTTATCTGTGATTTAGCTTTCCAGGAATAAAATCGCCCCTTATTAGTCATTGTTGAAAAATCACAGAAATGAATAATATGTTAATATTATTTAATAATTAATATTAATAATTTAATAAGTTTAATAATTAATATTAAACTAACAATAGCTTATTTTAGTGTATTTATTTAATTTTGTTATTTCTTACTGAATTCTGCTTATAAATTAAAAATTTTCATAATTGTATATGTAGAGGAAGAAATAGACTAATATAGCTTGAATTATCCTTCAAGTAAATATCCATAATATGAAACCTCCAAAAGGATGCTATAAATGGAAAATACACATTTTCCTATATCTCGTCAGTTGTAGAAAAAATTGGAGTTACACTAACCATACCAATGTTCAGTTGTCTACAAAGCTGGGTGTGCAGAATATGAATAGTCTAGATTTGAGTTCCATCTCTGTGTATATGTACATATCTCCATACTCCAGACAAAACAAGTTCAATCTCTGACCATTTCTGTCTTAAAAGCATTTCAGGTCAGTGATGCTCAGAATATATAGGTTTGGGAGTGTCTGTAGTTTAAATATCCACCACAGGTCTTGGCTTGTTGCCCTAGCAAATAAATTTCAACTAATGTACAGATGTCAGTACTTGGGCTTATATGGATTTTGCTTTGCTTTATTCAGGCTGCTCAGTTTTTAAATTCAGGAAATGTAAGGCACAGGCTACAGTTTTATATTGGAGAACATTTACTACCATATAACATGACCGTGTATCAGGCAGTGCGGCAATTCAGTGTACAGGCTGAAGATGAAAGAGAATCCACTGATGATGAGAGCAATCCTCTGGGAAGAGCTGGTATTTGGACAAAGACTCATACAATATGGTAAGTCTGAACTGGTTTTTCTTGGTAGTATGTGATCTTTGTTTTAGAATCCACATTAAATTCATGGCCTAATTCTGTGAGGAAAGAACCTAAGTCCTACATTTCAACTATGAAAAGCTTTTCAAATATTTAATATACGCTGTGTATATGAATACTGCTTCCTCTTCCTATCTACTAGAAAGCATTTAAGCAACAATCTACCTTTTTTATTTCATTTTTAAACCTTTTGATGGAGTCAAGCTCAGTAGCTCTGAGTCCTGTACAGCTTCTTAGACTGCCTTTAGTGTCTGCCATTTAGAGAAGAGACCTTTTCCCCAAATTAGCCCTTTACTTGCTAATTTACATATTCTTTTAGGAAGATATAAAGCCTTGGTGAGTCTCTGAATCCAAATAGGGAGAAAGATGGTGGATTTCAGAGACTCATAGGAATTCTGTATGGTTTCTCTGACTTAAACATTATTAGCTTTGTTAAATAATTTGGCACATTTAAAATCCACATTTGATTTTCATACTGTCTTATTCCCTTAGGTACAAACCCGTCAGAGAGGATGAAGAAAGTAGTAAAGATTGTGTTGGTGGTAAAAGGGGGAGAGCTCAAACAGCTCCAACAAAAACTTCCCCCAGAAATGCAAAGAAGCATGATGAGTTATGGCATGGTAAGGCGACACACTGAGGGAAGCTGACTCTGTTCAGGCCCTGTCCTTTCTTCTTCCTACTTTTTAAAACTGATTTAGAGCTCTGAAAAGCTTTGGGTATAGTAACTTAAGAATTAAATTACTGTAGTGTAATTACTTTTAATGTAATCTTTGACTTCATATCTAGAAAACAAGAATTAAGAATTTTATAAACTTAAAACTGAAAAATAATCTAATTCTTTAAGAATTCATGCCTTCATGAAGGGTTAAATGCATTCACTCACTAAAGAAGAGAGTGCTGGAGGCTGTGTCTGGTCACCAACAGATTGGCCCTCAACTTCACGGGACAGCTACAGGGTGACTTTGATACACAGGAAGGGAATGCAAAACAGTCAGTTATTTTTCTCCTGTTTAGCTATGCATCTTCAGGAGACGTGAACATTTTTTTATTCCTGGGTATTAAATGTGTACAAGGGTAAAAGTTAAGAAATGAGCATGTTTAATACAATTGAGATACTAAGAAGTTAAGTGTGACAGCTTTACATGATGAAGGCGACTCTGGGTATGTAGATTTTTAGCTATTGATATTTTGTTTAAAAGTGAAACTTTCTTATCCTCTAGATGGAGTGTGCCCGTCTGTATCGAATCCTTTAGAAGTTTACCTCATTCCCACACCACCCGAAAATATCACCTTTGAAGACCCATCCTTAGATGTAATCCTTCTTTTAAGAGTTTTACATGCCATCAGTCGATACTGGTATTACTTGTATGATGTGAGTAATGTCTCCTTTGAAATTCTGTGTCACCTTAGTTTTCTGTTTAGTAAGTGAATGCTCTATTACACTAGAAATAGAGACAGTGAGTCACTGAATGTATACAGTGAACTCATCTCTGGAGCTTAATATTCTTGGATTAAATTTTTTTAAGAAATAACCAAACCCTTTGTCCTACTTAGTGTTTCTATTGCTGTGATTAAATACTGTGACCAAAAGCAAGTTTGGAAAAAAATGGCTTACACTTCCACATCACTTCTATCATCTACAGAAGTACAAGTAGGAACTCAGGCAAGGTAGAGACCTGGAGGAGGCAGCAGCTGATGCAAAGGCCATGGAGGGGTTCTGCTTACTGGCTCACTTCCAGTGTCTTGCTCAGCCAGCTTTCTTAAAATCCAGGAGTACCAGCCCAGGGTTAGCCAAACTCACAATGGCCTGGGGTCCCCCACATCAATCAGCAATTAAAAGATGTTCTACAGGTTTTCCTGAAGCCCAAGTCTTATAGAGGCATTTTCTCTCAGCTGAGTATAGTTTATGTCAAGTTAACATAAAACTAGCCAGCATAACTGATCCCATGTCAGCTTGATACACAAGCATATCACTGTTAAAGCACAATGTTTTTTCTTAATCATCTCCACGATTGTATGTTAATACCACAATATACAACATAAATAACTTTAAAAACTCCCAGTCTTTTATAAATTCATTAAATGTTCAGTCTTTTTTAAATGCTGGCTCAGGAGACAGAGTCAGGTGGATCTCTGAGTTCAAGGTCAGCCTGGCTACAGAGTGAGTTCCAGAACATCCAGGACTACACAGAAAAACCCTGTCCTGAACTAACACATACACACAACCCTAAAAGAAGAAGCAAAAAAGAAAAAAGTTTCTTTAAAACTCCAAAATCAATCTCTCTCTCTCTTTTTTTTTTTTTTTTCAAAAAATATCTCTTAAAAGTTTAACCTCTGTGGACTCCTGTAAAAATTAAAATTAAGTTTGAATACTTTATTTCCTCAAGGAGGAAGAACCAGGATATAGTCACAGTCTGAACAAAGCAATGTCAAACTCCTAACAGTGTAAAAAGTCATTGTCTAATATCTTTGATTCACTCAGATATCTTGGGTTCCTCCAAGGAAGGGATTTGGGTCACATATCTGGATTCCTCTACAGGACACACAGTTTGTCCTCTAAGTTCCGCTACACTGCTGCTGCTGTTTTGGGTGGTCTTCCAACTGGCATCTTTAAAATGTAGGGTTTTCCGCAACTTGAGCCCTGACACACAGTGCCAAGCCAGCTGCTCCTCATGACCCCTCCTCCATGTCTTCAAAACCAGTACCACACAGCTGACTACCAAGTTTAGCTGCCTGCTCAAGGTATAACCTTAGTCACTTCTGAAGCACAGCTGTGTGCTTACTCTGAGGAAACACTTGGCAGAAGATTTCAGCTCAGTGATGCAAATGTTTTTCTTAATCATCATTCATTTCTTAGTTCCACCTAGCCACCATCAGTTTTTCCCAAGATCAGAGGTTTCACTTCAGTGGTACTGGTGTTCTGTTAATTACAGTGCAGTCTTGAGCCAAAGCTGGCAAGACCCACAGGTTCTTAATTCATATTATGTAATGACCCTGATAGTCTTTAAGTCTCTCAAAACTTCTCTCTGGAACTTCACAAGCCAGGCCTCAGTCCTCTGCATCTCTCAATATACTTAGCTTTCACACTCCCACGAACAGCTCACCAAGGATTTAGTACTCATTGGCTTTCCCAGCCTAAAGTTAAAGGTCCTTCTACAATCCCCTCAAAGGCAACATGGTCACAGCAACATCTCAAAAATCCTGGTGCCAATTCCTGTCCTAGATAAAGTTTCTCTTGTGATTAAACGCCATGACTATAAGTAAGTTGAGAATTCCTTCCTCTCAGATGACTATAAACATTTGTGTTTGAGTAAAGAGTTGAGTACTTTATTTATTTATATAGAGTGAAGGGAAACAGCTCCATGAGGTTTAGATGCAGGAATTTTCAGAAATGGGAAATCCAATCCATCAAGGCATTGGATAGTGAATGTTAAAAAGGGTGAGAGAGAAAAAGAACCAAGTAAAATATAGACCCACGTATTGATGGATATAGAAAGAGATTTTGATTTTTTTATTTTATTTTACAGAATGCGATGTGTAAGGAGATTATTCCAACTAGTGAATTCATTAACAGTAAATTAACAGCAAAAGCAAATAGGCAGCTTCAAGATCCTCTAGTAATCATGACAGGAAACATCCCAACATGGCTCACTGAGCTAGGAAAAACCTGGTAAGACAGTCCTTTGGTAAACTTATAAATATTGACATGGTGTTGGTCTTTGTTTGATTTGTGATAGAAAAGTTGTAGTTGACATGTAATGTTTGTTGACAACTTTGCAAACTCACTGAAGGACATTTGACCTGAGGGTAATAAAATTCTTTGCCTTCATAAAAAAAATGGTACTGCAGAGGTGTGAGTGCTTGGTTTTCTGAGCCTTTTTTGAACCAGATACTATAGACCTAATGTGGTAAAATCAAATTAGAATTTGAGTTTTTTTGTATGGCTTCACCCTACATGTTGTCAGTTGTACCAGCATTCAGGTTGAAATGTCAAGGGGGGAAAATCAAACCCATAAAACCACTCTATGAAGTGTCTTAGCTGCAGTATTCTTGGCAGTGACTTTCCAGTGCTAAGTCTGTGATGAAGATCATGAAATAGTAAAGTCGTTAACTTTAGCAAGAGTCAGATGTGACTTTGCAATGGTACCACCCCCATTAGAGATTTTAGGAGGGCTATTCTCACTAGGAATTAAAGCTGATCTGGGCAGCGTAGTAAAACTCGATGGCAACAAACTGCTACAGGCTCAAAAAGATTTCGTCGTCCGTCCGTCCGTCCGTCCATCCATCCATCCATCCATCCATCCAATTCATCTACCTGTTCACTCATTCATTCCTTCATTCATTGACTCACCCATTTACTTATTTCTTTCTTTCTTTCTTTCTTTCTTTCTTTCTTTCTTTCTTTCTTTCTTTCTTTCTTTCTTTCATTCATTCATTCATTCATTCATTCATTCATTCATTTGCTGGTAGCAGGGTCCCTCTATATAGTCCTGGAGCTTGCTCTGTAGACCAGGCTGGCTGAACTCACACAGATCCTCCTGTCTCTGCCTCCCAAGTGCTGAGATTAAAGGTGTATGTCACCACTGTATTGTATTAGAAGTTGTTGCCAATACAGATTTTGATTTTTTTTTTTTAAAGTCTTCTGTTTCTCACCTACATGGTAAATTGTATTTTATCTTTTCTAGCCCATTTTTCTTTCCTTTTGACACCCGACAAATGCTTTTTTATGTAACTGCATTTGATCGGGACCGCGCAATGCAAAGATTACTTGATACCAACCCAGAGATCAATCAGTCTGATTCGCAAGACAGCAGAGTTGCACCTAGATTGGATAGAAAAAAAGTAAGTATTTCTCAAGAGTATTTATGTTGAGCTTTCCAATTTACAGGTAGGACCTAAAGTACTATATCTAGATATGCTTGTGGAGTCATGGCCTTCACTTGATTTGTGTACTTGAGAGCATTTATTCCTGTGGCTAGAAGAAAAGATTGGATCCTCTTCAGCTGGTGGTTGTGAGCTGCCTGATGTGGGGGCTGGGAACCAAGTACCAACCACTCTTATTGCTAAGTTCTATCATTCTGTCGTTTTAAAAATCACCGGTGTGTTAGCTTATTTTCCCATGAACCTCTTGACACTGTATAGTCTTACTTTTGGGGGTTGGTTCATTGCTGAAATAATATTCATTTAGTTACCATGATGCTTACTAATACACCTTAATTTCTTTGTTTCCATATTGGAAACTTTGTCAAATTATAGCCTCTCTTTTAATGTTGAGTATTTGATACATTTTAGTCTCTTAGCTTGTCAAGCCTATTTGGAAGAGAGTGAAACAAAATCCCAGTATATTTTGAGTCTGCCTCAGTCACCTCTAGTGTTGCTGACTTCTCTCCCATGCTTCTTCTAATCTTAGCTTCCAGTTGTGCCTGAGCCATTTCCATGTGAGACTAATCCTAGCCTTTTGATCTTCACTGGAGTGTGTGTGTGTTTGTGGGTGTCTTTTTCTTTCTTCTTTCTTCTTTCTCTTCTCTCCTCTCCTCCCCTCCCTTCCCCTCCCCTTTTCTTTTCTTTCCTTTCCTTTCCTTTCCTTTTTTGAAAGACTGTTTCCTGTGTACTCCTGGCTGTCTAGGAACTCTCCAACTGAGAGATCTGCCTGCCTCTGAGAACCAATGAAGGCTACCCTCAATACTGCCTGATTCACCTGCATTGGAATTTGTGTTTGTTTTTTCCTTCCCAATGACTTTTCTGTGGTCTCTTACAAGTTTTTAATCTCTTGAGGATTGCATCAACATCAGTGTTGCTATGTTTAGAAATGGCAGGACCTTTATCATCTTCAGTCTACCCAGGAGGCATCTTGTTGCAAGGGTACTTCAGAGTTTAGAGGTTTCTTCCCTGTCATCTCCACATGAGTTTTATTGGAGCTACTTAAGAGGAACAGAAATTACTGAGAAATGGGGCTAGAGAGATGTCTCAGTGGTTAAGAGCACTACCCGCTCTTCCTGAGGACCCTGGTTTAGTTCCCAGCATGGCAGCTCACAACTGTCTGTAGCTCCAGTTCCAGGGAATCTGGCACCTTACAGATATACATGCAAAATACCAACACACATAAAATAATGATAAATCTTAAAAAAAAAAAAAAGAAAATACTCAAAGACAGCTGTATCACCAAAGCCCACCCTAGCATGGGTAACACAAAGCTGGGAACCTGGAGCATACAGCACAGGTTGCAGAGTGTCCTTTCCAGGTGAGTTGGTTGGTCTAAACTTCCAGGCAGCTTGGCTAGTTTCTGTTTCTTTCAGGCTGCTGGTCTGGTCTCAGAGTCCTCTCTGCAGCTTTTTTCCTCTTAAGAGTCATCTATGCAGCTCAGCTTTACTTTACCTGAGAAGGGACTCTTAGCTTTTATTGTTTACTCTGCCATGGAGGGGCTGAATCTGGTCAGTTGAAACCTGAAGAGACTTGTTAATTCTTTAACAGTGTAGCTCTTTTACCCTTTCTAAGGGATGTGCTTACAGGAATAGTTTTCTAACAGTTAAAGGGGTTATTTTGTACTGTAGTAAGCGCTTCCTGTTGACTAAGTGGGTCATTATTTCTTCACATCCATTTTCCTTTTAGCGCACTGTGAACCGAGAGGAGCTGCTGAAACAAGCTGAGTCTGTGATGCAGGACCTTGGTAGCTCACGGGCCATGTTAGAAATCCAGTATGAAAATGAGGTGAGTTTTGGACTCCATGATGGTATTTTAATTGCTGTTGATAGAATGTCATTTGTGTCTGTTGGTACTATGAAAATTCTGAAAGGCATTGGGAAATTTAGCTTAAAACAAAAAAGATTAAGTTCTTCCTTTTTCAGGGGTTTAAATGCAAAATAGAAAACAGGATTTTTTTTTTCTGTCATAATTACACATATCCTTGTAATGTTGATGAAGTAAAAGAATTTTCTAAGAGTCAGTAATTCAGAAGCACTTGTACTGCTTTTTCAGAGTGGAGTTTATTGATAGAGAATATGGTGTACACCGTAAAAACTTTTTTTCACAGTTGGTATATGTACACAGTCTGGAACCACCTCCACTATGGCAAGTGGAGACCATCTCTGTAAACACTGCCCTGGCAGTCACTGGTGTAGCTTCCAATGTTGTTGTTTTCCTATTTTTACAAGCTCATAAATAAATGCGTTCATGCAATAATGTGACTGTTGCGTTGCTCTTTTTTCACTTACTGCCATGCATGTGAGCCTCATTCATGTTGTAGCATGCACCAGTTTTTTCTTTTTTCCTTTTCCAAAGTTTTTTCCTAGTTTCTCACAATGGCTTATTATGTGTTAGTCACTAGTTTGGGGGCATTTGCATTCTCTGTTTTTGACATTTGTGCCCAGGTCTTTCTATAATAAACTTATTTGTGGTTCTTTTGAATAAATACTTAATTTTAAGTCATTTGTTATGATATTTTAATGTTATTAAGAAATACCATACTTTATGTCAGTGGTGATTCCAAGTTTTTGTCATTTTCCTAGTAATTTCTTACTCTGTACTTGGTGTTACTAGGTTTGTCAGTTTTAATTATTCTAATGAGTTTGTGGAATATTGACATGATTTGGATTAGCATTTTCCTTGCATTGAGAATATGGACCATTTTTTGCATTGCCTGTTGGTCACTTTCGATTTTGGAGAAGATGCTGGGACTGTTCCCCACTTTTCAGTTTGATTTTGCTTTGTAGTTGAATTAACAGGTCTCTTACCTGGATTTGCATCCTTTAGTACTGCCTTGCCATTTTTTTCCAGTTACCACTTATGCAGTCTAATTTTTGTGTCATGCGTTTACAAGATTTAAATCTTATTTTGTTTTAGTTCATATTCAATGATCATTTCACATTAATATGTAGAGTTGAAGAATGGATTCAAGAAAGGTTTTTTTTTTTTTTTTTTTTTTTTTTTTTGAGATGAGAGATTACTGTGAGATACAGACTAGCCTTGAACTTGAGTGTTTTCCTCCTTATCCTCCTAAATTCTGTTATTACAGCCTTTTGGCATTCACAGCTTACTCTTTATTTTAATTATATTAGGATTGTGGGCATGTGTGTTTGGGAACATTGACTCATGGGGTACATGTGAGGGTCAGAGGATATTTTTGTGGAGTTAGTCCTCTCCTTCCATCATGTAGGGCCTAGGGATTGAATTTAGGTAATCAGGAATGGCAGCAGGTGCTCTTAACAATTGAGCCATGCCGGTGGTTCACAAATGAAATTTTATTGGAACATTGCTCTGCTCATTGCCACTTTCATGCCATAAAGGCAGAATGGAGTGGTTATAGTAGAGTCCATGAGATCCAATACGTATTGGAAATATTTTTGAAAGGAATATTTTCATAATGCGGCAACAAATGGAAATAAAGGAAGAGTATTATTTTTTCAAAGCCATGATAGCAAAAGTCAAATAATGGGAGAGAATTTTTAACAAAATACATGTAATTATGAGTTTTGGCCAATTTAATTATATAGTAATTTAAGAGAATTAAAGCATCAAAGGACTCTACCATTGGTAGAGTACCAATGGTATGGTGCTGTACACACACCCACCTTCTCCAAACTAAGTAAAATCTTTGTCTTTGCAAACTTCCCATAGAAGCTGATTCTAAACATCACATGTACATGGTATTTAATGACAACTGAGGGAGGCATGGCATTTACATTTCTGGTATCTGGCAAAAGTTCAGTGCCTACCCAGGTTATATAATGAGGCAGTGCCTCAAAAGCACAATAAAACACAAAATTAAAAAAATGAAAACCATTAACAATTGTGATAAAAACAAGGTTAGAGGACCCAAATTACCTCTTTACAGAAAGTCTACAGAAGTCAAGACTGTGTAGGATTGGTGTAACAAAAACAAATGAAGAATTCAGAAACAGACCCTAAAAAGAATGGCCTTTTCAAGAAATGGTGCTGGGAAAATGAAGTAACCCGTTTAAGGGAATAAGCAAAAACATTTATGTTGCTTTCTAAAGGTGCAGCTGTATGTTCTACAAGTAGAGTTAAGGTATTTACTGTGCAAGCCTGACACCCTGAGCATAAATCTGACCTCCACACATGCATTTGAACACATACATTATTCTTTTAAAATGCCAGGGTCATCTTAAGTTACAGATTGGACCCTCATTCACAAACAGTTTTTGTATGGTACCCAAACATCATTTATATATATATGTTGAAACACTATGCAAAATGTTTTCCATCATTTAACAAACATTCTTAGCTTTCATATATTAAGAAGAAGGCAGGAGACTAGCTGAGGAGGTTTGGTGCATTCTAGCTCTAGCTCACAGACCTTTGTTGTAGATGGTTCTGTCATCTGTGACTGAGAATGTTTTACTTCTTCCTTTCTGGCCTTTTTTTTTTTTTTTTTTTTTAAGCTTCTTTTCAGATGGTTTTCATCAGGCAAAAAAAGGGCAGTGTGCCAAAAGATTCAAGTAATGATTTTCTAGGTAAAGACAAAGCTTGGTGATTTTAACTTCACTGACTCGCCACTGCTTTGCCCTTATTTTCTTGTGTGAAAATGTGGATAATAGAAGTACCACCTCAGTTGTAGCTAAGTTCATATGTGTGAAGAGTTAGAACATTGTAAGTACACTAAGTAAGTACACCATAAATTTAGTAGTTTTGTTTACAGTATTACCAGTAGCTATTTAAATATAATTGTAGCCATTACTTTGATTTTTTTTTTTTATTCATTTTTGTAAACATAATCTTACAAAAAATTTTTGTGAAAAGCCCTAAGGACCTGCAGCCACAGAATAAACATGTAGAGGTTTGTGTCCTGAGAAGTGTATTGTGTGGCAGTGATTCAGGTTATGGTAGAACTATCAGATATTCTTACAGGTCAGTTAGAGATTTCCTAAGACAGAGGCACAAAAGGGCGTGCCAAGCAATTGATATAGGTGTCAAATGAATGAGGCATTCAGAGAGGGAATTAAGCTTTGCAAAGACAGGAATGCTTCGTGGGAGAGAGTGAGTGACTCTTAAAAAACAATTTTCTAGCAGATTAGGATTTATCCTAAGATATTGTTGGCTTGGTGATAGGTGACAAAAGCCAATGCTATTCTGAAAGTTTTGGGAGACAGGCAGAGGAGATGGAAAAGGGGGAGGATGGCAATGATTTTAGAAGCCATTTAGTACTGGTGTGTTTTTTTTTTTTAAATCTCCCCCAATTATAGTTTTTGCTCACAGGATGTGGTACTTAGATTTCATATTTGTAAGCAGTAAGAAATCTTACCTGTGGCTGGTGAGATGGCTCAGTGGCACCAAGCCTGATAACCTGAGCTTGATCCTTGGAATTCACGTGATAAATAGAGAAATGTTTTCACACAAATAATCCTTTGAAACCTGAATACTTTGGTGTATTTGCATACATGAGCATGATAATTTTAATTAAATGAGACCTATATGAGTTCAGAATAGCATTTTACCAACTCTGCTTAGGGTTCAGGTTTGAACTGCTATTGCAGAAATCAATAGTCTATCATGTTCAGTGAATCTTTCCTGTTAAACTCTGAAAAAGGTTCTGGGATCCAACCTCATTGGGAAAATGTGTTCACTGCATAATGTTGCTAGATGGCTAGCAGACTGAAATATGTAAAACACTTAGAACATTGCCTAGCATATAAAACATGCTGATTTGTGTCACCTTTAAGGTAAAAAGACTATGTATGTTAAGCCAAATTGTTTTCATTGTTGGTCTTCTTCTGGATTTTGTATTTGTTTGAAACAGTCCCCTAATCTATATTTCTTTTTGCTAGACTATCATATTTTCTTCCCTTTAAAAAAATGGAAAAGAAGCCAGACCATCTAGTAGCTGTACATTTAGTAGAATGTTTGGACAAGATACTCCTGACCAACCCCAGGAGCAAGTTGTGTTGGCTTTGGTGGGTGTGGCATAGGCTTTCAGTAACACTCTTTAAGTTAAATTCATTTTACTTTTAGAAACAGCTATTTAAGAGAAAGTAATAGATTTTTCTAGGATCTGTACTAATTTTGGGATAATTTTGTGAAAGAAATAGCTCTGGAGCACCACCTCGTGGACAACATGCACTACTGCATGTCTAATCTTTTCTCTCCCTTTTCTCCAGTGGCTGAAAATGAATGCGGAGCAAAATAAACAAGGTCCCTACCATTGTGAAGGTTTTCTTTAGTTTTGGAAGGTTGACACATCTGTTCTCTCTCTCTCTCTCTCACATACACACAAACACATATACCACTACCACCACCACCATACATGTTACACTTGTGGTCAGAAAAGATTAACGAAGATGGAACATGTTTGGTAAGGTGACAACATTGTTCTAAGCTGGCTTTTGAGTGGGAAGCAAATCACTGGTGTTAGGAAGAATGGCTCTAGCAGAACAGAGGCAGTATATTCCAACTATCACAGGATCAAGGTGACTAGAGCTACTAGTACATAAGGACAGAGCAGTAGGAGTCAAGGTCAGTGATACTGGAAGTAGGAACCATACAGATGTTAGGGCGTGATAAGAACATGTGCTGTGAGTGAACAAGTAAGTTTTTCTTAGGAAATGTCACTGTTAATACGTAGGACATTAGGGACACTAGTGTAAGTGGGTCATTCGGCAAGCTTAGGTAGATCAGATTAAAGGAGAAGGTTGCAGAGAATCATTAGTGTAGGCAGAACTTCCTGTGTAGTGACTGGTTTAGATTATGCAGAGTAAGAAGCACCAAAGGTGGACATGATGTCTGTGGGAACACTCATTGTGGTTAAATAATGATACCCATTTTCACATGGACTTCTGTGCAAGGGGTGGGAGCTAATCAGAAAGGACTTTCCAGTTGCTAGCAGGCACTGCTTTGAAAAGTAAGAATTAAATGCGTAGACTGTATCAACTCTTAAGATAGTAGGCACTATTTTTTTTTAAAGAATACTAATAATAAAAGTGTCCTTTGTTTATAAGCAAATGATCACTTGAACAGATTATTGTCACATAATATTGAACTGTGATATAAAATTATTATTGTTGCTTGACTTTAGTTTGGACTGAGGTGGTGGGAGCTTGCTGAAACAATGGAGAATTGCTGAGTCTGTGAACAGTGCTCTAAGCATAATGACAATGTTGCTGGCACATAGCAACTTTGTAAGCTGCACAGTCACCTTTGAATATTTAAGTGGCAAAGCCTAGTCTCTAGATTGATAAATCAGGAGTTTTTGTCTCCCACCCCCAACTCCTGTGAGGTCGTGTGTGTGTGTGTCTCACACCGATAAATATCTTGAGGTTCTAGTATAGCCTTGGACTTAAGGGGCCTCTGACTTAATTCCTTTGGTTGCTGACATGAATTCAGATCTTGAATTTTATCTCTTAGACTTCTATTAAATGTATGTTAGACTCTATGGGGATTAAAGGCAGTGAAAATAATTCCCTGTCTAAACCCTGCAAGTATGTAATGGAATAGTGGTAAAGCCCTAAAGTGTTATAGGAAGAGATGATTGTTGGAGGGAGGCTAGCTCCCTTAAAGAGAAAAATAAACACATCCATGCAGTACCATATTGATCCCTAAAGGAAAAATACATAACCACAGCTGGGATTTTGAGCCATACAATTGGAGTGTAGGGCCCAGAGGGAATGATAAAGGGTGTTTAGTGCCCATGACTTTAATGGCTGTTCAAGACATACTGGAAAATCATCTCATGCTTCCTGACAAACACTTGATATTGACATCCATATCACCAAGAGGTTGCCAGGCAAAAACGGCACCACGGTTTCTAAAATTCTGATTGATTCTCCTTTTTTTTTTTTTTTTTTTTTTTTTTTTTTTTTTTTAGGTTGGTACAGGTCTTGGGCCAACACTGGAGTTTTATGCACTTGTTTCTCAGGAACTACAGAGAGCTGACTTGGGTCTCTGGAGAGGTGAAGAAGTAACTCTTAGTAATCCAAAAGGTAAGGTGCAGATGTGAGTAGTCAGTCTGTATTACTCGGATGAGGTAAGGGAGTTTTTCCACCCTAGGTCGTCTACTGGGGACCATGTTCTTTGCCTTTCATGTCTTTCCGCCCTATTTTCTCATTTACCCAATGGGAGGGAAGGACTTCTAGATCTGGAGGCTGTCACTCCAGTTTTCTCAATACTAAATTTCCTAATGTTCTTAGTTGCCAGGCTTTGTTTTGATTTGTTTTGTTTTAGAAAATCTCATCTGAAGTTTGGTGACTTGCTCGTTTTACAGGAAGCCAAGAAGGGACCAAGTATATTCAAAACCTCCAGGGCCTGTTTGCACTTCCCTTTGGTAGGACAGCTAAGCCAGCTCATATCGCAAAGGTTAAGATGAAGTTTCGCTTCTTAGGAAAATTAATGGCTAAGGCTATCATGGATTTCAGATTGGTAAGTTTAGGATTGTTTGCTTATCTATAATTTTGTACAGTGTTCTGTGAAAGTACCTCAGTCTCCTGCACTCAATGCTATGTTCTTGAGCACTGCTGCTCTGTTTCGAATGTGTGCATGAACTGCTTGAGATTTTTGTTTAATGCCAGTTCTGCTTCTGTAGCACACACGTAAATCTGCCCTTTAGTCTGTGTAGCATTCCTTAAGTAGACAGGACTCAGAGGCAAGCAACATTAGGATCGCATTAATTGTATTTTTGACGTTTTTAATTCAGTGGGAAAGTCATGAACATGTAGGTAAACTCAGTGAGTTTCTGTTAGAGTGCTATTGTGAAAATAAACTAAGTGATCTATATTTATGGAGGTTTGAATATTTCTGGACTTTTCTTCATTTCCTCTTTTCATATTATCAGTATGGGCAAGACATTTTCATCTCTACCCAACAAATTTACATTCTCTTTAAAGAGGTGTGTGCAGTTTATTGGTTATTTTAGAAGTTTCATTCATTTTGTTTGGTTTTGTTTTGAGTAAGTTTTTCATTTTTCCTTCTCTGACTTCAGAATATTAAACATATAAGTAGAATTATATTGAGTTTAGTTGGTTCAAAATAAAGTAAAATTCTACTGAGGAACACCATAGTGTTTCAGAGTCCCTCATGTGAAATACTTAATGGATATTACATATTCATCCTTGGTGTTCTTTTTATGTGTTAGTGCTTAACTAGGTTCTTCAGCCTTCTCAAATGTTGGCAGAGATTTGGCACCCAGTTTGTGTCTCTTGATTTCAAGTAAAGACAGGAACAATTCCTAAATTATTTTTTCTCTTGGAGATTTTTTTTTTTTTTCTTCTTGGAGATTATTTTACCTTTCCAAATGACCTCTTTTACAAAGTGCCTGTTACAAGCTTGCTGTGAAAAGTATGTTGCATGCTCCCTTTCAGGTGGACCTTCCCCTCGGCCTGCCATTTTATAAATGGATGTTGCGGCAGGAGACTTCCCTGACATCTCATGATTTATTTGACATTGATCCTGTTGTAGCCAGATCAGTTTATCACCTAGAAGACATTGTCAGACAGAAGAAAAGACTGGAGCAGGATAAATCCCAGGTAGGTCTGAAAGAGATGTCCAGGGGATCAGATCAGTTCTTTGTTCTAGAATTATGAGGCTTGTTAAGTGGTTTGTATTTGACCGGTTAATTTTACAGTAATACTTGACTTAATTGATCGATTGATTAATTTTTACTTATTTATTTATTCCTCTTTTGAGACATGGTTTCTTTGTGTAGCCTTGGCTGTCCTGGACCTGTAAGACCAGGCTGGCTTTGCACTCACAGAAATCTGCCTACCTCTGCCTTCCCAAGTGCTGGGGTTACAGGTGTGCGCTACTGGTGCCCAGCTAGATTTATTTATCCTTATGAGTGTTTTGCCTGAATGTGTGTGTATACAACTTGCATGCAGTACCTTTGGAAGCTAGGAGGGGAAATCTGGCCCTTATATTCCAGGCAGTTGCTGGCCTGCCTGCCTCAAGCTGCTAGGAATTGAACCCAGGTCCTCTGAGTAACAAGTACTCTTTAAGCACAGAGCCATCTCTTTATCCCAGCAATATTTCATTTTAATAAGAGAGTTGCTTAGTATGTCTATTAAAATGTGTTAATGTGTGCTAACAGAAGGACCATTTTACAATGAACCCACTGTGATCTTTAATAGCAGCAAATGGATGCCTTGATTTTTCAAAATAAAATATACGGGCTAGAGATGGCTCAGAGGTTAAGAACATTGGCTATTCTTCCAAAGGTCCTGAGTTCAATTCCCAGCAACCACATGGTGGCTCATAATCAATAGTGAAATCTGGTTCCCTCATCTCGTGTGCTGTATAAATAATAAGTAAATAGAATTTAAAAAAATAATAAACTATTAAGGGAAGTTTAAGACCACTTGTTGAAAATTTTAGATGTTAGATGAACAGAAAGGTACTCCTGTCTCTCTGTGTCCCTCCTCTGCCCTACCACAGACTGTGTGCTTGAATTGCAAGTTCATAACACTACACCCAGCTTATACATACTTTTTACTGGTTGTTGACAGGCTAGGGCTATGCAGCTCAAGTGTAAAGCGCTTAAGCTAGCATGCCTGAAGTGCTAGGCTCAATACCTACAATTGTCAATCACAGAAATGTTCATGAATGTCTACTCTTTGAGGTTTCTGTTTCATCTCACAGATAATCTTGAGCTCTATCTCATTACCGTCCTTTTACATATATACATTACTAGCTCATTTAGGCTTAATTTATGACTGTATGGGTATCAGATATCAGAAGAAAAAGGTTATCTTTTCTAAAAAGTAACAAGGTGCAGTAGCTTCTGTGTGTGTAGATTTAACCACCTGCCATCTTTTTCGCCCATTTTAAGATTTAAGTTGAGACCAGCAAACTAATAAGATTGTCTATCAAAAGACAGTGTTGCACCTTGATGGGTTGAATTTGTAGAGGCCAGAAGGTGATTTACCAAGAATATTCATTTTATCTCCCACTCCTACTCACCACCACTCCCCAAGGTTCACATACACTTAATACTTAAAATTTTAACACACTAGTTTTGTGCATAAATAGTGTCACATATATAGTGGGAAATAAAGGAAAGCACATGAAACTTGGCATTTTTCAAATGCCTCAGATATACCCAGTATTCTGCAGTCCTGTTAGATGTACTTTTGGTGTTTCAACTTTACAGATGAGAAATTAAAGACCAATAGACTGAGCAACCTGTTTTATGTATACAACACGGGAGCATTGCATCAGATCCAGGGTGATCTGGATCATGCCCTTCTGCATGTCACACAATTTTCATAGGTTTACTCATCTCAAATTCTGTGTGCTGTCACTTGATATTTGCCTCCTTTCCTTCATTCCTGATCCTGTCAACTAAAAAGTATTAAGTGAATCACAGAGTCCATATTAGAGAAGTTGACCTACGTCTTAAACAACTTTGAACTAGAATATGAAAGATGCTGGTGTTCTGAAATAAGCTCCCTACTTCTTTCCCTCCCTCCCTCCCTCCCTCCCTCCCTCCCTCCCTCCCTCCCTCC